ACTGACTTTTGTCTTTCATCAGGCTCATCAAAGTCTGACCCAACAACAAGGCAGCCTAATCTGGTGTGGATACTGCATCTAGACCAACTGAGGGAACAGATCCTCTCTGGTCAGAGTCTGCAAAGTCATCATCAGATCCTGCAGCATAAAATCCTCTCTTTCCCTTTCTCCTGTTCTGGAAAGAAGAGGTCTTCCCCTTTTGGGAAGAGGTCTGGAGAGTGTGGCCTCCATGTCCAGTGTTAGCTTGCCAAAAGACTTTCAATCTTTGTGACCTGCAGTAAACAGGGTCTTGGCATATGTCTCTAGAGCAGCCCTTACAAACCATGCCAACGTATCCTGCTCAGACCTTTCCAAACCAGGTGTGGAGGTCAGTTTCTCTCACTCTGCATAAAGCTTGGAGAGTGATCCATGCCACTTATTTTGGCCTAGTCTCACAAGCTCGTCATTTGCTTCGCGGGCCTTTTCCTTATCTGCAAACCTGGTTTCCAAACCCTGAAAGATGGCATCCAGACCAATTGCAGCAGTCCAATCATCCAGCTGCTTCTGAGCCCTGCTGGCCTCAGAAGTTGCCCACTTTAGTGCGGCCCCTCACAGGAGGGGCCACTGTGGCTCGTGCCTTGTCCACCTCTGGGCAGGTATAGCCCCTGAGGTAGGTCCTCATCTGGGCTATCCAGTCTGCGACGTTCACTTTGGGGTCTTCCACAGTGAACTTCTTAGGCTGGGTCGTCTTGGGAAATTGCACTTCCTACTGCACAGTGCTGAAACTCGGTTCCCCTGTGGGCACAGTCCTAGAGACCTGCGCCACCTTCTCTTTTCGAGGAGGTAGTGGAGTCTTGGGAGAACCAGGTCGGGATGATCGTGGTGTGGCTACCGGAGGAGCGCTAAGAGGAGGGACTGTAGGGTGAGGATAGGGTACAGGAGTAGGAGGGAAATATGCCTGAAGAACACTGCTGACAAGTTTTCCGACTTCTTGTCAATAGATGACAGCTGGGACTCAACTGCTGAGATCCGTTCATCCCAGGATGTGAAAACATCCCGGTTGTGAGCGGATTCCAACAGTACCAATTCTGCAAGATTCCGCGTGACATCAGCCACGCGGGCATCGGCAGGGACCTTGGCAATAATGTCCAGCAGCCCAGATCTTATAGCTGCTGCTTCTCCTCTCCTAGTTGCCTCTGCCTTCTCCCTCTTTAATCTCTCTACTTCCCGAACTGCATCTGCAGCAACTTTCTCTGCTGCTTTCAGGGCTGCATTCACGAGCTCTTCCTCAGTCAGGGGTTTCTACTCTTCCCTGCCTTGCTCAGGCTTCGCAGACGTCTCTCTGCCTTCCGCAGGTCCCTTAGCCTTGTCCTCAGTGGCCATGATGGTCTTTTCAAATTTTATTTGTCAGAAAACAAATAAAAATAAGAATAAACAATTCCGATTACTGTTCACACGCAGAACACAAATAAAAAGAATCTGACTGTGCTATTAGTAAAACACTACAGAAGGTTTGGGATTTACGGCAGTTAGCGTCAAATGTCCAAAAACAGCCTGTGAGATTACAGGTTCAGGACAACGGCGGAAACTTTCAACAGAATGGCCATGTCTGAGCATACAATCCAATCAAGAAGGCAATGATGTTGGTGACCAGGCTCGTTACAGAGCCTTCCCAAATCAGATAGCATTCTTCAGCAAGCGGGAGAGTTACTTTTCAATGCAATCAGAGAAACAAAAACACCAGCGCAGATTGCAAACACTGTTGTGAAGTCTGCAAAACATTTCAATTCTGATCAAAATAGGAATCTGTCATTTCACTGACTTTCTGACTTCTGATACAGATAGGCAGTATTCAATACTGACTGACCAATTTCTGACTGCCAACTGACAGGACTGACCGACAAACCGACAATAAATTCCGGTTGCCACTCACGGAACCAGGTAGGCAATCACCGCAGATCAGGGTCTGTGGGATGCGATTCCAATTTTTTTATTCAAATTAGAACAGATTCAGAGAGGGGTCAGAAACAACCAGAATGGCGACTAACGACCTATCTGACCGAAACTGCACACAGACTAACGACTGACAGACTCTGACAGACACTGACAGGGTCTGATGACGGGCAAGAAATCCAGGAACGAACTCACTTGGACAAAACTTGATCGAAGATATCTAGCCGGTCAACCATTGACCGCCAATCTGCCGCAAGATGAAGTAAACCAGTCTGACATCGACGTCAGACCTGCAGTGGAGATTCCATGAATCCTCCAATCAAAATGCCTCATCGGAGTAACTGCAGCAGCGGGCCCAGACGGAAGTCCCATGCCGTCTGTGGGCATGGTCTGCAGCTTGAGGGTCACCCAACACTCAGGTCCACCAGGCCACTTAGGGTTGACGCAGCGGTCAACTCTGCTCTCGCCATCTGAAACTTCCCAAGAACGTTCCACCACTCTTTTATATATATATATATAATAAATATATAATAGCGGTACTCCGCTCGCACAGTACCTTCCACCACCTCTCACCAACGACCCCTGTTGAAGAAAGCGGACAACGAGTCCCTACTCCAACCGCCGATCAGAAAGGAGGTTGCCACTCAATTGCTCACCGGTTGCACACGGTCGCAGCTCCGATACCAACTGTTATGTATCCGATTAAACTTCAATCCACAACGAATTCACACGTTCCCATACACACATGCAATTGCAGAGTAGACTCGAAGGAGGCAAATCTACACAAAACCGGAGAGAAGATATGCACAGCGGAAGCTCAAAACACACACAGAATTTAAAAACGAATTTCAATTCTGCAATCCCTCTTCCTCCTCCAATCAATCCAGAGTACTTTATTCCAAGAATCACAACTGCGTTTACAACAACCCCGAATAACCAGAAACAAGTGCTCAACGAAGTATGCAGGAGTCTTCTTCTTCCTCCTTGCCACCTCATATCCCTGGCTATGGCTGCCGTAGCAGCAGTAACCCCACAGCTGTCACAACGTGCCAATCTGAACCAGCAACCCTAATGAAAACAACGCCAGCTCAGCACCCCCACGGAAGTGCACCACTGGAAGTCCTGATGGAGAAGGAGACAACCGATCCAGCACTTCGAAGAAGACAGTCCTGTGGAAGATGCCAGCTGCACCCAAATATGGCTGCCAAGTGGAAGATGCCAGCTGCACCCAAACCCAACAACACAGTCCTGTGGAAGCTTTTAAGCAGAGCTGCGAAATAGCAGCAGTGCGATCTTCAACTTCATTCCCCAACCCCAGCTATTGCTGGGCTTCGATGAAGAAGATGACATCACCCAAAATAGAGCAGCAGCGCTCCAACAACGGACGGGCAGAGTTTCCCCCAGCTAACGAAAACGTGAAAAGACCCGAACTATTTTTCCTGCCCGATACTTCTAACACTCCACTAGACCTAGGACCGCCTCCCCAAAGCAACAACCCAAAACCTATCTGTATCTAGGTGGAAACAGGGGAAAAGGGGACCTAGACCTATCACAAGGCAAAAGAAAAGGCCCAATGGCCTAGGACTACCAAACAGAGACTAATAGTGACAGACGCAGGGATCAAGTCCCGTAGGGCACAACACTCAGAAACAAAACATACAGGTTACCGGTCACAGGATCAAGTCCCGCAAGGCTCAAAACAGTCAAACAGCAAACAAACAGGCAACACAGCAGACAAAGGTTGTGGGATCAAGTCCTGCCAACAACGACAGGGACAAAATGAGTGTACAGCCCACTTGTAGCACTGCAATTCATTGCAATGGGACTGGAGAGCCCTCCTCTGAGAAGCCTGGTCCTCTTCCACGGACTGTCCCGTTGAAAACAATATGTTGAGGATGGGAAGGATAGCTGTCATTTGGGCCCTTTGGCGGAAACGGTGCACACACACGATTGAAAGAGTCAGAATAGAGGGGGAGGAAGTCACCGAATTGGTTAAGCAATATATTCAGGAACAAATCATGTCGGGTAGGGAGGGCAGGATAGCCCACATTCTATGGGAGGGAGGACAGCTTCCGGAATGGGGTGGCGACGAGCTGTGGTATCTGCTTTAATGACTGGACCAAGGTAGTCGCTGCTGTTCCTTTGCGTCCTCCTTCAGAGTTTCCCGACCCCTTTCCGCCCCCTGGTCTCTCCCTGGTAGATCTACAGTGGTACGGAGTGGAATAGGAGGTCTCACCCTTGGGATCGGCAAGACAGTGGCACTGTCGGACCAAGAGAATTGAGGGACGTCAAGGAGTGGAAAAGACGGTAGTATGGAAATGTGGAAATTCGTAGTTTGCTGCATAGGGAAGGAAAGGGGACTAGGTATTCAGATTGGTCAGGCGCCCAGCAGCAAGGCTGAAGAGGCCCTCTTGTCAAATCCTCTCGTGTGCATTCTTTTACCTGCTCAGTCAATCCCCTGGCTTCAGGGTAACAATGCTGGCAGGATGTCAGTGAGTTCAGACGCAAAACTGTTCAAAGGGACGTGGCACCCGCTTTCCAGCAGGTGCTGCTCCCCACCAATAAATTGGAGCACCCAGGCAGTCCGCTAGGAGAGGGTACCGGTTTTTCGAAAAAAAAAAAAAGAGGATTGGTAGGGTGGCAGTTCCTCCGTCGCACGCCAGTGTGCCCATTAGCGGATTGAGTCGGAATAGTACCTGGGATGGTCCCCTGGGAAGCTTACTGGTTTTGGAGTGGCTGGAATGGAACAGACGGGAGCCTTGAAGTCTTGCATGGGGCGCCAGACTAGGGATATGTGTAATGAAATACCGTCACCAGGATATCACCACCTCCCCTGGTAGCCCTCATTTCCAGCATGGCCGAAATAGTACCGGGGGGCGGTCCCTAGGGAAGCTTACCGGTTCCGGCGCTCCTATGACAGTGCCCGCGATAAGTGGGAATCTGGCCTTTTGCAACAACCAATATAAATAAAAAAACGAAAGAAAGGATGGTCGTGACCGCAGTTGGTCACCCACATAGTGGAACACTAACGATGATCTGGTTAATAGTTTTTTTTTTGTTTTTGTTTTCGTTTTCCTGGGGCTTCATTAGCGTAGTAGACCCTGAACCACAATCCCATAATGGCTCTGTATAAATGGCAAATGAAACTAAGGGTACAGTGCAGGGAAGAGAGCGTTAGTCAATGGCAGTTGTCACAGAAGCACCTATACTGTCCATCGCTGGAGGCGCTTGATAATTTGCGCTGTAAAATGCAGAAAAAGAGAAAAGAAAAAAACCTGAGTTGTTTACCGCCGAGGACTATAAACCACTAGATCGCAAACCATGTGGGCAAAAAAACTCCAGAAAGCGAGTGACCAGCAGAGTTTCTGCACCAGAGAGCATCCCTTCCATAGAAGCGTAGTCTCTCAAATACATCAACAAATAATTTGTCTAAGATTCCCTTGTTCGACTAAAAACTCACAAGCGGTAAACCTTACTTACCAGGTAAAACTTCCTGAGCCAGCAAATCCCCATACCACCATGAGCTGCATCTGCTCACTAAACAAAACATAATTAGAGAAAAAGTGGCAGCACCTCTCTCTCTCTCTCTCTCTCTCTCTCTCTCTCTCTCTCTCTCTCTCTCTCTCTCACCATGAATTAGAATACTCTCAATTATAAATTGAATTAGATATTAAACACACACACACACACACACACACACACACACACACACACACACACACACACACACACACACACACACACATATATATTGTCACAGTGGAAATCGGAGCGCAAAGGCGGAAAAAGACAGAACAAGAAAAAGAAAAAGAAGGAAGGAAAGCCCCACCTGTTCGTCACCTCTTACGTACAAGGCCAGCCACGTGGATGACAGGTTGAGCACTGGCTGCCCCCATCCCCGTGTGTCATAACGACCCACTTGCACGCAGCCAAAAGGCAAAGAGGTAAAGAAAAGGCGGAGGAAACCAAACCTCACAGAAGAAGAAAGCCTATTAAACAGACGAAGCAAGTGACACATCCCACTGATAATCCAATTACCATCCCACAGAACATATTTTTCTTTTTTCTTTTTTCTCAGGTTTCTTTTTTTGTGTTTTTCCTTCCATGGTTGCTACATCCCGGTTGGTTTTGTCCCCTTATTCGGTCTATGTTGCTGCAGGTAGCGGTGCTTCATGTGGGACCAGTCATCCGGGGTTTTCTTTGTTGTCTTGGTATCCTTGTTGGTTGTTTCCCGTTGTTCGGCCCTTTGAGCACGGGGCGGTGCTTGTATGTGGGAATCATCATCCGGGATGGGTTCTTTTTGGTACTTTTCTTGATTTCTTTGCAGACAAGGTTTTGGCATCCTAGTTAGTCTTGTCCCGTCGTTTGGCCTGTGGGCAGGGGCAGTGCTTGCATGTGTGTTTTGTTGCCCCCTGTTCTGTTTTATTTGGCTGTTCCCTTCCTCTCTTCTTTGCCTCTTTGCCTTTGGCTGTGTGCAAGTGGGTCAACATGACACATGGGGGTGGGGGCAGCCGCCGCTCAACCTACATCCACGTGGGCGGCCTTGTACGCAAGAGGTTCTGAACAGGGGGAGTTGTATGGAAGAAGATTAAAAACAAAATAAGTTTTTTTTGTTTTCCGTGATTTCTTTCTGTTTTTTTGCTTTGGCGCTCTGATATCATGTGACAATATATATACACATATATTATATATATGTCACTATAATATACAATATATTTATATTCAAACAAGTTTTTGTTTCTTTGATTTTTATAATATTTCGTACCCTAAATGCTTGACATAATTGCAGTGTTGTGCTAAGCTAACTCAATAAAGCCGGGATAGCTCAGTAGGTTAGAGCAGAGGACTGAAAATCCTCGTGTCACCAGTTCACATCTGGTTCCTATGAGATAAGACAGTAGAAATAATGACACAGTGTCTGCTCACAAACCGAACATAAATAGAGAGAAATTGGCAGTACCTCTCTCTCTCTCTCTCTCTCTCTCTCTCTCTCTCTC